AAACTGACCTGTTTACCTTAAGCAATATAAAGAAACCGGTCTTCATTAGCCCATTCGGAGCAGAACAGTAGGACGTTATAAAGAAACCGGTCTTCATTAGCCCATTCGGAGCAGAACAGTAGGGCGTTACACACCATTTCAGAAAAGAAAAGCTACGCTTTGCCAATTTAAGTTTAAAAAAAAACCCAAAAAAGAACGCGTACTTACGGTCTCGTATTATCTGATTTTTTTTAAAGATTTATAGACAAGCAAATATATTGGTTTTTTTTTTTTATCTATATAACTTATATTGCGTGCATATCACGAATTGACAAAAATTACAAAGATATTTTATTTTATTGTCGTGAGCTGGAACAGATCTTCAAGAGATGTTTAAAAATAGTAAAGTAGTACGTGACGTGTCAGAATTACACGTGTTATTTCAAGAATTACAAAATATGTTGATTTGATACCTTAGATGGTACCCTTATTTAGACACCACACTTTAAAGGTTTTTGGGTGCAAGAGATGACATAATTATCTCCAAGGGAATACATATTTAAACAACATTTTTTTTCTTTATGTTGTAATCCTATGATACCGGCATCATTATAATCATTATCATACATAATTATGTTATGGAATACAACGCCAAACCATTATTTTAAAAAGTGAACCAAAACGCACATGGGGAATAATATATTCCCTAGTGGTGGAATACTATTAAAACGGTGCAGCGTTGTTCAATAGACAGATGAAAAAACGTTGTTTATCCCAAAAGTTGTGAATTTATAATCAGATAAAGGCATTTAATGGCATTAAAATAAACTAATAATTTAAGCGCCCCTTCTTCTTTCATCATTATTAATCGAATTGGAAATGCATGGAAATCTAAGATAACTATCATTTTAAACACCTTTGTTGTCGGTCCATTATCAGCATAATCCCACACTTGCCACCAAATGGGGATTCTAATCATAAGGCATAAAGGGGGCGAACCCTTCATAAAATATGCAAATTATACAGCTCCGTCACAAAAGAGACAAAATAAAGTGTCAAATTGCTGTGTTTAGGATATTGACCAAAGACATGTCCAGCTGTTGTCCATGTGGTTACCGCACGGACACCGCTTGCGACGTGACGTCACCAATCGATGACCGTGCCACGAGGACAATGGCGTGTGACCTTGGAAAACATTTTTACAGCGAAGGTCAAACGGTACTAACGGGTGTGACGAGGACCTGGTTTGGTATAAAAGGTGGGAACTAGGTCATTGGAATATCGGTACTGATGGTTTTACATGTATTTATCGTTCACACATTATATGTACATGTATATCCAGTTAAAAGGGGAGGACAATAGAACAGCGGTTTTCATTCGTATCATTTGAAAACTCTTTTTGTTTGATTACTCGCATTCTTGTTTACGCATTTTTATTCACACGTAATATGCGTGGAAAAATAAATATTTTTAATTTAATGAGAATATGGATGATTTTGAGGTAGAGGCTTATTATGTACGTCATAAGAATAAAAAATTCCCATTAATTGCAATATGAGATAGCTGATTAGTAATTAATTACTTTAGCTTCAATTTAAACTTTTTATGAATTAAATGACGTAAATGGGCGTGCATAATTGTTTAGTTTAATAATGCTGAACGTAAGTATTGATGACAATTTTAAAGGTTTTGTATTTGAAATGTTCAACTGATATGGTACTTTATTATCATATTACAATGTAGCAATTTCAGTATCCGTCTTGTTTCCGTGCTGTTCTCTCTCGCCATATATAAAATAATTACGACCTGTCTTTCTCCACCCCGTATTTTCGTACAGTAAAAGTGCATTCTCGTATGTGAGAGAGAGGGGGAGAGAGAGAGAGAGAGGGGGGTAAACGTCCACTCGACACAAACTAGGTCATTTCGGGACTAACATATGGTTTAATTTTATTTCAATCATTCGCTTGCGCGTAGGGGTCTTTAGCAGTGGGAAGAAACCGGAGGAACCGGAGAAAACCCACGAGGTTGGACAGGCGACCCTACTCCTTGTCACGTACAACCGGGGATTCGAAACCACGCCAGTCGACTCAATGACAGACTTTATGATACAGCTCGCGCACGCTAACCATTCAGCCATCCAACCCCCCCATTTCCCGTATGACGTACTGGTTAAAGATTTGGACACCCTTTGACATGTTTCGTCGACAGCATAGAAATTGTTTTTATTTTTAAAAGTCACAAAGATTATCTAGATCCGTGTAGGTTTTCTATAGAAATGGTGGGGGTCATACCCTGTTTGTTTATTTTCTTTATACACAATAAAGAATAGCGGCTATTTCTAGTTAAATCAATTCCTACACATCCCAAGATCCATCTTTAATATCCTAACAAAGTCCCATTGGCACCAACGCGTAGATTGTAAATCTGCATTGACTTCAACAGAAAGGAAAATTGATTTTCGTGCCTGTATTGCTTCCTACCAAACAACTTATGTAAAATCTGAGCGACTCTATGATTAGTATACGTCATGGGACCGTCCATTTCCTAATCATTTTCTTCGAGTATCGCGGTCCGAATGAAATAATGAAATAAGGAGGATAGAAGATGGTCTGTGAACTCACGGAGTACATCAACCTAGGGTTATTCAAGTATTTATTCACCGCCCGACTCGCGCTGATAAATTGACATCACACGTAAAAAGGGGCAAGTGACGTATCACTGACTACGCTTTTCATTGGTGGAACAAAATTACCAAATTGTCTGTCTTCGATTTTCCGATATTTTTCATTTTCCAGGACAAGAACTCTAATTAGATTGCACACGCTCTGTGTTTTTCTCTCATTTGTCCAAAAACAAAATGACAGTTGTGTAACACTGAACTATCGGTATTACGTCATGTATTCTGAAAATATGCTTTGGCGTCACTGACCAGTACACAATACCAGTATTTATATGAAACGTATCATAGTTATTTTTAGTAACATAATTCTTTAATTCTCGATTATAGGAATATTGTGAGTAGTATACATATTGTAATGTATTCAATACAGTCGCGTTTGACTTGACTACGGATATGATAGCGTATCGTTTGTCATAATTATTGCTATGAAGTTATAAAAACCCTGATTCATATACGCAAATTCTATTCATCAAGATTCTTAATGATCAGTTATTGTTGTTGCTGTTGAAAATGTGTGTACACAGATATGTGTATATTAAAAGTTATCATATTTAAAAGAGCATTAATACTTTACATCAAAAACCGTATATTAATAGTATATGAAAATAAAAATGTGACGCACACAAAGTGTCTATAAAATCAATATCGTTCTTTTAATTAATCAGTAAACGCACGTGTCATGGATTATAGAATAAGAAGTGTCTGTATTGCTTGACATGCGTAACGAAAATATACAACGCCACAGACAAAACAATGCTGACAAATATTAAAATAACTGTCTGTTTAGTTTCAAAATAATCGTGTTTTTTGGCAAGGGGTGAAATTGACGACATATATTTGCCTGTGAGGACAGACAGGATTTCTTGGGGTATATAACGTTTCGACTTCGGTGTGTTTCTCCATGTTTCCTAATAATCCTTAACCTTCAGTTTATGCTAATTAGTTATTAAATTTAAATATTTATTGGGTGACTTAACATTATATGTATGTTTATGACGTAACACCTGCTATTTCAGCGTATAATATGTGTGCTTTACTCTTGAGAAACTGTGACAGTCTTATAATCCATACTTGACGATTATTTCCACATTCAAAACGTTTTAATAACACGTGTGACGTAATTAAACCGCATTATAATAATGACGTGTCGAGGATTATAACACTTTTGAATGTTTACGTGTGCCGACGTTATCTAACCAAGCAGACATGCGAGAAATACATCATAAAAAATGGCATAATCTTCTTTTTTTTTTTAGTCAAACCAAAAATAACAACGTACTTTAATCTAAACAGATAAACATACACAAGACATGTAAAGTATTGTTTGCACAGGAAATAAATGGCGATGCACTACACATCGACATATAAAACATAAAAAGTGTTTTGTTTTGTTTTTTTACAAAATTTATTCATCACAAACGTGTTACGTGTGAGGTACAAAGTCGACAACCGGAGAACTCCATGGGGTCATGTCAATGTTGTTGTGTCATGTGACAATGGAATATATATAAATGTCGAAATACATCACCGTGGTTACATACCAGAATTTGCATAATGTCTGTGAATGACGTAACACGTCAAAACCCAAGTCGTTATTTATTTGTATAATACTTGAAATTTTGAGATACGTTACGAGGATGACTTTTTTTTAGAAACTGTGTTGCGTGACATTGTGTTTGTGACGAACAGATAAGATCGGGGTTACAGCTATGTAATTAGGTAGCTGAGCATATCATAAATCACGAACTACGAAATCCACCTAATTATCGTTGGTGGTTGACCGTGGCTTGCTACATCTTCAGACATCTACTTATTTAATTTAAAGTAATGATGGACGATGTTGATCTATATGCCTGAATAGAACTGACCTCAACTCGACATAGCCAAGTCAGTAGTTAGCTATCGACGTGATGTCAAATTGGATCGACTCGGAACTCACGAGTGAATGAGCCCCCCAGCTCGCTACCACATCAATAGCCTTATAACAATACCATTAGCCATATAACCCAATCGTGCGCACAATATTTACGATAAATAAAAACCACCAGCAAAATTTTTAAATTCACATCTTGCCAACAATATCCAGACTCGGGTCATATATTCAGGATTTTGTCTATTAATAGATTTGCAGCTGACGCCAACGAACAGACTGTTCGCCCAACAACAAATTACGTCGGTAAATTCTGTTCACTGGCTCTTCAGTCGCCATTTTGGATATTTTGTTGTTTTTGATTTCACAGTGGTCAGACTTCAACCTCGTACGGCGCCGTTTCTGGACGCTGTTACGCCAAAAGCAGACGAATTTAAATGTATGAAAATATTTAAAGTGTGTTCTACTTACTGTGCACATTCTACACGTCCTTATTTATCCAATATCTGCTAAAATCCGCGACTTATTTTTGTCCCCCTTGCAGTGGAAATCGAAGAAATCACGTGACCTGTCATTCAGCCAGCCGGTATTATTTACTCGAGGCGTTATTTATAGCCCCGACGCAGTTTGACCAATCAGCGTAAAGAATAAACGCGTGGCTGGTTAGTAGAAACAATTTGATTGGTTAAGATGCAGGAACGAGTAAACATGTCGACCAGTGGCTGAACAATGAAGAACGATTTCGAGATTTCGCTGGTTCTGGCTTCGCAGACGGCCTCCTCGCCAGCAGCCGATAAAATTAAATAGCAAGAAAGAAAAAAAAATACCGCGCTTCTGGTTTTTTTCTAGGTCAAAGGTTTTTTTGTTCCTTTATTTGAAGACGTGAACGTGGTGCGGTACGGGATGTACTGTGACGAACAGAATTTAACACGCTATAACATGAAATGCATTACGTATTCAAATTCATTATACTTTAATGCATTACATGCCCATTTAACGATAGACTTTATATATCTGACTGTAATGTCAATAACATTACATATTCGTGTCACAGCACGTTTTCACAATAAAAATACAAAACAACTTTTGTAGTCAAAAATAAGGATATTTCCTCTTATTCATTTATTTCTTTCTCCAAAAATTTATGAGATTTCCGGTGATATAAATAAATATGACATTATAATTGTATGGCAAAGTGTTATATACACACACTTATGAAATAGACTATACTATAGTTTAATATTTCTAGAAGCATAGGATATACATAAGAATTTAATAATGACAAAAACCATAGTCCAAATATTAACGTTTTCAAACTTTGATTTTGAAAAAAATAGTGAAGGGGTCGTCTCAAAATAAAATATTTTTATAAATCTTATTTATATCTTTTCATCTGCTTTAGTAATTTTGTGGCATACTTTTGTCGTAATTCTTTTTGCCTCAAAAAGAATTTATAATATTTATTACTGTGGTGTTTAAATTTTTATAGGACCAATATACCATATTATACGAAACGGCGGATCATAAATTGTCACCTTATCGCCAGACCATTGTCGTCTTATCTAATTTACTTGGACCCAATGATAAATAGAATAGGGGCGAGACTTCAGATAAACTTGGCCATTTCAACTCACAAAAACGCCAATGTCAACACAAGTCCAACTTTGTTTACCCAATCTTTTAATGGTTTCCACTGTCTAGTTTTATTAATTCTCTGGTTCTCAATCGTAACTAAAACACAATACCGACTTGAAAGGTAGTCTTCCCGCTGCAAATAAATAATAAAGGAAATTAGCTTCAACGTGTCCAAATGTTCAAATTCTATTTTTCTAGCACGCTTTGGAAAAAAACCCAACTAACATGCGACATTCTAAGCGATATAAGAATATTTCCTTTCTGTTTTTTTTTTTTTTTAAACGTAACCATTATCCCGAATTATGGTGAATTTTAATAAATTGGGACAATATTATCAATGTTTTCTGTTTATCATGTAGAATTAAAAAAATCACAGATTTCCTCACATTATGAAATGAAACAGGCTTAGTATGTAAACTAATAATTTTTGAGGAGTTTTGTTTACTTTCTATTAGCCGAACCAATCATATTTTATGATAGCTTAATTTATTTAAAAATCTGTAGCATTATATTATTACACTGATAAATTGATAGTATATTACAATTAGATATGGATCTATCGCGCTTTCTATAGTGTTTATTCTTAAGAGTTTAACGTATCTCAAGCATATGCTTTAGACATTTGTTCTTTCCAGTGTACAAGAGAACGTTAAACGTATCACCATAAATCATAAGTCGTATATTTGAGGAACGACGATCAGGAAATTCAAAGATATGCTTTTGTGAAGATGGCTGACCTTCTCGAGACACATTAAGTGTTCTTTTATAAGATAAAATACCCTTTTACCATGGATTACGGTTTTATAAGAGGGGACATTTTTATGTATTAAAAACGTGATATTACTGAATTTTATTCCGGAAGACGTCGGTTTCGTATTTCGCCTATTTCGTGAAGGAAATTATCCCGTATTGATTTGTACCATGTTTTATTTATATGAACATTATTTTACTAACGAGAAGGAAAAACTGCATAATTCTATACCCAATTTATTTATTTATTTGATAACAATCCATTACAATACGGGAATATAATTTGTAAAAAAAAAGAGGAAGCACTCGTCTTTTATCACTTTTGATTTAAATCGAAAAAAAAAATCACTAAAATGTGCTTTTAGCAGTGCAGAGCTCGCTCTAGGACCCCAAGTTCTACAGCTTTACAAATAGTGATAGTTTGTATAGAATTTCTCTATAATCAATTACATCAATTGAAAAACATGTAACGGCTGTTTTTAAATTGATACTTTAAATATTTTGTTAATGGTGATGACATAGATATTCCACACCAGAACTAATATAGAAACTAATATGATTCTTATAGCATAAATATAGTGTATAGTAACTGTACCCCTACCCCACCCCCTCCCAACAACCCAACAAGATATTGCCATTTGTTGCCGGTGGGTTTTTTTCTTCTCTAAAATATGCCATACTATGATACATTGTGTTTATTTATTCTTAATTATTTATTTAATTTTGCTCATTGGATAAAAAAAACAATTAATTTACATTAATATTTTCATTTTATAATTGAGCTATTAATTTTAAAATGTTCTCCATAATGTTGGTTTATGTTCGCATAGAATACATTGTCGGCCTACAGTAGACGAATTTTATTTTCACACAAATCACACATTTTTTATAATCTGAGCTTAAAAGAACCCCCCAAAACATCCTAACGCACTGGGCCATTCCAACGCAAGATTAATTAACTATTGGAAATTATATTCAATGATAACCGACTGACTAAAGAATATAGTTTCCCTTTCGTCAATATTTACATTTGCCTTTTTTAATTTTTGGAAAACACAAATTCGGTCTTCTAAAATGGTTATATCTAGTACAAGAAGTCGTACACCAGGCTAAATAGGCTTAGCTTTACTGGATTAGCCGATATCATTTCTCATTTCACATAGCTATAATAACACTGTTGTACACTTCTGTATACAAATATCACCAACAAGCTAATGCTGTTTATATTTTTCTAAAATGTTAAACATGTTTAGCGTTGATAAAATCTATTTTGTTGATCAGTGGGTAGTAGGGTATCTTAGTTGGATCAACTTTATTTTGTCGATCTGTAGGTAAAATATCTTATAAAATAATCAAATGTCATTTTAGGTTTTTTTTAAAAAAAAAAAATTATATGAGTATTTTTAAAGAAAATTACTTTTTGATTAGTATTACACTCCATCGGAACGCATCGAAAACCACAGGAACACATAATTCACCCTTTTAATATTTCGCGCGATATTTAAAATTGTTGGATTTCATTTTTCGATACGGTAATTTTTTTTTAGTTTAATGTATTATAACTTTCGAAGCAATGAAACAGGGTAATTTCCAGAAATATTATAAATGTAACATTTAAGTTTACGTATTTCTGGCCTTCTCACGATTTAGTTTCATGAAGTTTTTCCGATGCTTCTAATTACCGATATCTATACTTTATTATGAAATTATTTATAATTTGTAGAATATTTATATCTATAACATATCTTTTCCCTGTTGGTCACTTTCTGCAATACTTTACCAGAAAATTCGCCCTTGTCGGTTCTTCTCGGTGAATAGTAGGACTCATTTTTTTTATTTCAGATATCTTCTAATCGTGTTTGGTCATAATTCCTTCTAGTAATTATGTTTGCATATTTTTTTTTATTTGAATATGAAAGGCACCCGTTGAATATTGCTCTATTTTATTTGTAATACCAGTTCTTGTGTATATATAATATATCGTATTCTTTTACATTTTTAAATTGGGTAAGGATACTTTACAAAATTACCTTTAATTAAAAATGTATTTCGCGATTTAAAATATATAACCATGGAATTATGACGTTGACGCTACTCTTCCGGACACCTGTTACCACTGTTTGTCGTGCTGATTACACTATTTTGCTTGAATACACTATTTTGCCTATAACGTTTTTTAGGACTTCGAATTCTGTCTTATGGTTTGGATTGTTCGTACTTGGTTTTATTTTATTATAGTACCCTTGTAATAATATACTGAATGAACGCGTTCCGACGTATACCAGTACCTTTATTTTGGCTTAGTATTTTACTTTATCCAATTAAAGTGATGGGGTCTATTATACAATACAGCATCCAATAGATCCATTAATAACGAGTAACATAGAAAACGATATAAATAAATAAATATACACCATCAAATCAAAGCCTTTTAATAATAATAAATAGAGTTGTTCAATGATACTATAGCAAGACTTTATACAACGACTCGGGGATGAAATATTGATATTAGTTTTTGACTGTTATAAAATAGGTACCAAATGGAATTGATAAACCAAATAGAATAGATACGAAACCCATTCGGTTCACTTGAGCCTAATATATAAAAAGTCTACTCAAAATTAAACTTTTCTTTCGTGTCCTTTTCGTTTTTTCTTTTTTTTTGTCGTTCATATTTACAGTACAATATAAAGGTCTAACAACATCCTTAAGAAGTTTTTGATCACTCATTTAGCCAACGGAAATATGTTTTTGCTTTGATAATATTGATGTTAGCTAATTACAGCGGTTTAAATCAGAATTAAAAGACACATTGAAGCAAGTAGTTAAATCTTAAGTAGAGTAGACCATTAATACATCCAAGTCGGAACAAAATAAAGATATAATTTTAACAGGACTAATATCTAGTGAACCAAGTACACCGGCACAGTGTCAAACCGCGACGCTTGGCATCGCACGAATAATGAAGGCGCTGAAATAGCAACGGCAGGCACAATGATGGACGCTCTGTAATAGTTAACTTGTCTAATTCATTATGTCCAATTTGAATCTTCCATGTTATTTTGCCTTGGCATTATGCAAAATCTCATACCTTCAATATACATTCTTAGATTTCAAAAAAGAGAGTAGCCTATTTTCACAATTTTGTGTTTTTTACACCTTACGCGATGCATCTGTAGATGTTCTTGTAATTGAGTATCTTTAG